ATATAATATATTAAGAACATATATATAAATATATATATATATATAAGGTAAAAAAGCTCACCTGCAGGCTACAATATGCCTGCCACAAAATGGCAGCCAACTTTTCTACCTTTTGTCAAGCCCTGTCTAGTGTCTAGCGTGCCCAACACTGGCTCCCCTGCCTACCTTGCATTAATTGTGTTACGTGCTCAACCCTGCCAGGCTGAACGTCTGAGCATATTTCACTGAGTGCACCAAAGCACAATGCTGTCAGTCTCACAACTAATAGTTGTATGGCCTGCCTTTGTGAGCATTTTTTTGGAAGATTCTAGATCGGCCTACGGCTTTTGTGGTTTATTGTGTGCACCGATCCCTTTGTGTTAAAAATATAAATCATAGTGACGAGCTACTGCAGGAGAATAAACTACAGTTAGACAGAGAATTGTATCAGCTAAAACCTCTGTGTTACAGGAAACAATCATCAACAATAAAATCTTACGCTTCAGACATCAATTAGTCCTAATTTCTCTTCACTGAGATAACTGTACCTTCATGTATGTCTAGCTCAGAATGAATAAAACAAAATACTGGCTGTATTTCCTTCTAGTTCCTTCTACGCACTTCTCAGCCCGTTCTCATTCCCAGATCGTCAAATACAAATGCAAGTGGTGTTAATTGCAATCTGCAACTTTGCTGCTAGACGCCACTAAATCCTATACACTGGTCCTTTAAATATGCACATATAGTGAAACTAAAGTGAGATAACAGTACATAGTGTGTTCTCAAATCAAATCTCACAGTCCTGTTGAATGAAGTTCTCCTGCAGTAAACAGCAGACGGAAGTATGTATGTGTCTGCTAGCAGCATTTCCCACATAGAGAAATACAGCAACATAGACGTCTGTGTTTTTGTCTTCTTTTTTTTGGAGAGCTGTGAGAGACTGATTTCCCTGCGGTGTCACAAAGGCCGTTTGACGTTATGACTTGCTCCCCAGACCGCCCGACCTCATTCAGCCACCAAAAACACACACACATATAGAGAGTACTCCAGCTTAAACGAGTTATTATGCACTTGCTCACAACCAATTACAGACAGATGCCAATAATAAGTTCTTTTCCTCTTCAGAAAATTGAGAGACAAATATTGGCCATGAAAAAAAGCTCAGTATAAAATATCTATGATGACAAATATGCAAGTCGTGGATCTCTAATTAGCATGTTCCACTTAGGAACAGATAAATGTCAATGAGAATAGAAGCACTAAAGGTTACTATAAATGTTTGTTTAAAAATGTCACATTGGTGATCATAGTCCCAAGCTCGTTATTATATGTAACAGCATGGCAGGGAGTCAGCTAATGTTAGCTGCACAAACTAACTTGCTAACTGCTTCTAACATTACTGTTATCTTCTAGTCCATCCTGAAACTCCATAAATCACCTCGGTACCTCTGTCGTCAAACTAGACTCTGTCTGTCTCAGAGGTTGTGTTCACTAACTAATGAATCTTAGCTCTGTATTGCTAAAAGTTGAAGAACGATTGACAGGTAAATGTCAGGATATGATTGGTTGAAAATGGTTGATTCATGCTTACATAAGCACAGGAAGACAAAATGATTGGTTTTTGATATAAAAATACATAGAAATTGAGTTGTTGAATTATTGCTACATTGTTAAATAGGGGTACAGTATGACTGAGGATTCAATCTCATTTCAAGTAAAAGCACTAATACCCCACTTAAAATACTCCACTACAAATTCTGCATTCCACACATTACTAAGGTCAAAAGAATTATAGCAAATTACATTCATTAAAAATTATAAATATAAATTTATTTGTATTTGGCATTGCAGCCAAAATGTAGGGCACCAAGGTGTTTGATGTTTTTGAAAAATCACATACATAAAATTGATGATCAAAATTGATCAACAGACAGAGGACAAAGTTAGTGAGTAGCTGGTGAACATCATGAAGAATCTAGCTGCTTAAGACCAAGATATTTCCCTCAGAAGTTGGTAGAGACCGAAACAGAGCTAAAAGGACAGTGAATATTGGACTTATATCCATGGGTGACCACAAACATAACTCCAAATGAATGCTAACGCTGATCTGTTTCTGCTGGATGTGTAAAACAGGCAAGGGTTTGCTAACATTTTTGTTAACATCATTGTTGTGTTTCACACTTGTATCACTGCCTTCAAGAGGTCAAAAAAATCAGTTGCTGCAGCTTTAAGGTTGCACTGGCCAGCTAGTGATTGGATATCAATTGTCTTTCCCGAGAATGACTGACCATTAATATATTAATAATAATATAATGGAAAGTTTAAACATTGTCCATACATACTGAACATTCTGATACATCTTGCAGAAGGTTTGGTGAGATAAATGTTACACTTTGTGTTCAAATGGGAGTACAAATGTGCTAATGTGAATGTCCATTCGTTATAATTAATACTGTTATAATCATCGTGTCTCTACCACAAATTGTGTATAGTGTTGACTGATTGCTATCAGGGTCTCTTCTCACCTTCACACAAGTGATCAATCATGTTCAGTCAATGAGGTGGCCTTTGTAAAGTGACAAGCCTTCAGTCATTCTTGTTATGCCCCTGCTGCTGGTTAAACCATCTTCTCTCCACAAAGACTACACAAAGCTGTTACTGGTTGTGTTGATTGATTTCAATCAACCCCCTTTATTACCATGCTTGACAATGGCATCTCTTACCTTTAGCACTATGTGTGCCCATATCTCAGCTCTTGGGAGCTTTATTGGATCCTCTGCCACTCTCACAGCTGCTCTGATTGCAGAGCATCCTCATGAGCAGAGGCTGCTCATCCAAAGGCATAACCATAACCATTTATTACAATAAATGGTCCTATATTCTTTGACACAAGTGTCACTGACAAATAGTGCGGCTGCACTCAGGGGAAGTGCTGCTAGTCAATGATAAGGACACCGTCAACAGGTGTTGCAGAGGGAATCTCTGGGGCACAGGGGTTGGCAGATCAGGCAGGGTCATAATTGTTTGATGTGAGCAAAGCTGGTATTTGAGGAGCAAATTTGCCTGGCGGGGCTGCACAGGTGCATTGTGACAAATCAGCAGTGAGAAGAAGATAAGAAAAAGTTGAATGGCAATGCACAGATGCAGATTCCCTACTGAGTTGCAACTTATGTATGTAATTGAAGTGGGTGATATTGCGTCGGTATTACTCTCAGCTTTCCATTAAGGAG